GCTGGTTGTTGCCACTTTCGTCATTGCTAGATCCTAGGCTCTCAGTGCATTTCACTTTCTGATATGCTACAAGTGGTATAGGAGCTAGTGCGATGAATCTTGGCAACAACCAATCAATCGATTGATTGATTGGATTGGCGGTCTGCCACCAATCAATCTTCGATTGATTGACCAGTCAATCAGGAGATTGATCAAACAATCGATCAATCAGCAATCATCTGTGATTGATTGATTGATTGATTGATTGATTGATTGATTAATTAAGTTGATTGATTATTTGGCAATTCTTTATTCAATCTTGGGAATTTCCCAAAATTAATTATTTACTTATTTTTTCCGAGAATTTTTTTTTTTTCCGATAAATTATTTCTTTTCCGAGAATTTTTTTTTTCCGAAAAAATATTTTCCGAGAAAGTTGGTTTTCGAAAAAAAAAATTCGTTTTGAGAATTATTTTTCCGAGAATTTTTTTTACCTTGTTTAATTGTTGAATGTCTGCATTTTGATAATTTCGCGATTCTTTTTCCGAAACTGTCCCTCTACACTTTCACTGCGTAGGTCTGCAAATTCCGTTCTTTTTTTTTTTTTCAAAAAAAAAAAAGGGCATTTTTTTTCTTTTTGCAACCTTCTCCAACTCTGAGTAGTAAAGATCCTTCTTTTCTGATTCTCTGCAGTCCGAGCACCGAAGGTTCACATTCGCTTTCTGCATCACCTTCGGTACTCAGTGGGATTGGACAGTTTTTTTTCCGGATTTTCGATTTATTTATTTATTTTTCAAAAAAATTGTTTTTTTTTTTATTAGGAAACTGTTCAATTTGGGATCTGTCCGACCCTTCCCACTTGTCTGCCTACCTGTTCCTCCCCCTCCAGTCCGGATATTGGGCCAGTCCATCAGATTGGCCCTCGGGTGACTCTTCAGACTTTGGGCACAGCAGTGCATGACACTGCTCACTCGATCACAGACCAAGGCCATGGACCGGAAGGCGGGAGAATCCCTCTTGGCCTATGAGGAACGCCTGGCGGCATTCATTCAGGAGGCCAACGATAGGGCCGCCGCCGCGTCCAAGGAACATAATCGGCTCGAACAAGAGGAGGAGGCCAAGCAACAGAAGGCGCAACAGGACCGACTTCGTCAAGAGGAGGCAGACCTGCAGGCGGCAGCCGAACACCGGTCACGCCAGCGGGAACGACTGTTCACGCGGGAGACCGTGATCGGCGATGAGGCCGCACATTGGGTGGAAATGGCGTCTGCAAACGGGCCCCCGAAGACTGAGAAAGGGTTGTTAGCCCTTGCGCAGGTCTCCCACGACCTCGTGGCCACCTGCGCTCTGCAGCAGGAGGAAATCCTTCACCTGCAGCAGACAGTGGGCCAGATGCTCGCACGGCTGCAGGCGTTGGAGAAACAGCCAGCTGCTGTAGCAGCCGCAGAGCCTTCCAACCTTTCCACCCGCGTTCAAGTTTTGGAGGATGACATCAGCAACATCAAGAGTGTGCATCAGGACTTCCGGACGTCGCAGCAAGCAACGAACTTGCAGTTGGAGACCCAGGTCCAGGCTGCTGCCACCGTGAAGCCCGCGGCCGCATCCTCCCGGCGCCCACCCAAACTGGATAACATTCCAGTTTTTTGCGATCAGTCCAAGACGGAATCGATCCCGTGGCGCCAATTTACTCTCAGGCTCGACATGCATTATGTCCCGAACAACGATCGACATCCGTGCTTGTACCACCGATCTGGTGGTGCATGTCAAGCATGGCTGGACAACATCTTGACCAGCCACGGCGTAGCAGTGTCGGAACTGCACACCGAGCTCACTTGGTAGGAGTTGACTGACGCCTGGCACAAGCGATTCCAAGTGGAGCCACCCGACCTGCAAGCGATGGACAAGCTCAACAAGCTCCACCAGAACACGCTGCTCAGTCAGGACTGGATTACCGAGTTCCAAAGACTCGCCTCCACACCTGACCTGCCGCTCGCATTCCGCATCATCAAGCACTTGTTTATCATGCGCTCGTGTCCAGCTCTGCAAAACGCGCTGACGCAGATTGCAGAGACACTCGACACATCTGACAAGCTTTTCATCACATCGTCACGGATCATTCTCACGAATATAGAAGTCTGCAACGCCGACCGATCTTCCGCGACGACGAGCAGCACCCAGCCCAAGCCAAAGGTGGCTTGCATTGCGGCGACTTCGCCGACTTCTTATGCCGAGGCTGCAACACCAAACGAGGGTGAAGTGTTGGCAGCTGCCCGGGATGGTGGCCGGCCGCGCAACAATCACGGCCGCGACAAGACGAAAACTCAGTCCACTTCTACACCGAGCACCGGATCAGCAGCCGACGAACCTTGGGCACAATACGGACTCTCGGCGAATTGCTATCGCACGAGACTCAAGTACCGTTATTGCCTTTGGTGCAATAGCACCATCCACGATGCTGCACATTGCCCCACCAAGGGGAAACCCCGTTCGGGAAAGTAGGCGCCGCCGAGGGTGACTCGACACCTCCCTCGACGCCATCGGAAGCGGTTGTGCGCACGACCGCCCTTTCTTCTGAGGCATATGCGGATGTCGGAAGTCTTCCACTTTCGTTCGAAGACTTCGCTGCCCGGCTCGTTCCTTCACTGGATGTTTCTCAAGGACAAGATACATGTGCGGCTTTCTCACCATCCGAAGGTTCTTCCGCCACTTCGTCTTCATCAAGGGATTCAGCAAGCGTATTCAACGAGGAGGCTTTGGACCCGCTCACGCCCGAGGATTTCGCTTGGGTTCCTCTCCCTACGACGGGCAACCTTCCGGGGCCGCAAAGCGCAGCACTATGCGCCCTCTTACACGAGTATCTTTCCTTCCATGCACCACCAACCTCGCTGACGGTAGACGAAGTCGCGGTGGGGGACATGCTTGGCTATGTTGCAAAGGTGGCCCGCGAGTTTGTCTCGCAACGGTACGCAGAAAACAACGCACCGTTGCTCTACGTTCGCATTCAGATTGGGCAAGCGGCCTGCAACGCTTTGCTAGATTGCGGCGCAACTCGCAACTTCATCAGCCAGTCCTTCATGACTCGGGCTGGCCTTGGCGCACAAGTACGAAGAAAGTCACATCCGACGACGGTCGCTCTTGCCGACGGTAAGACGAAACAACTTTTAGACCGTTACATCTCGGCTGTCCCGGCGTACTTTGCACCGCACGCATGTGAACCCGTCATTTTTGACGTGTTGGACACCGACTTCGATGTCATTTTGGGGATGCCTTGGCTTTCTAGCGCGGACCACATGGTCAATTTCCATCGACGCACGCTCACGATTCGTGATGCAGCTGGCGCCGAGGTCCTGTGTACTATTCCTCCTCCTCGCTCTTCTATTCGGTGCCAAGTCGTGAGTGCCAAATCTTTTCGAGACACATGCCGTTCCGAGCATGTCGAAGAGATCGGCATCGCTTTTCTTCGAACCATTCCGACGACCGACTCATCGTCCACGGATTTGTCTTCCGACCCCCGTGTGACCCGGTTGTTAGATGAGTTTTCGGATGTTTTTGAGACACCCTCCGATATAGTGCCGGACCGGCCGATCTCTCACGAGATCATACTCGAGGTCGGCGTCATGCCACCAAAGGGATGCATTTACCGCATGTCCGAGGAAGAGCTCACGGTTCTCCGTGCGCAACTCGACGATCTACTTGACAGGGGTTGGATCCGCCCTAGCAGCTCACCTTACGGTGCGCCCGTTCTCTTCGTTCGGAAGAAGAACAAGGACCTTCGACTTTGCATTGACTACCAACGCCTCGACACGCAAACCATCAAGAACGCGGGGCCTCTACCTCGCATTGACGATTTGCTTGAGCGGTTGGGCAGCGCCAAGTACTTTTCGAAGTTGGACCTCAAGTCGGGCTACCATCAGATTTCCATCCGCCCGCAAGATCGGTACCAAACCGCGTTCAAGACACGATATGGGCATTTTGAGTGGGTAGTTATGCCTTTTGGCCTCACCAATGCCCCGGCCACCTTTCAGGCGGCCATGACCACCGAGTTTCACGCTGTGTTGGACCGCTTCGTCTTGGTCTACTTAGACGACAGCCTCGTCTATAGCCAAACTCTAGAGGAGCATCTTGAGCACCTTCGCCGTGTTCTAGAGACTCTTCGGTCAGCCCGGTACAAAGCTAACCGCGACAAATGCGAGTTTGTCCGACAAGAGCTTAAATACTTTGGTCATTTCGTCTCTCCGGAAGGCATTCGTCCGTTGTCGGACAAGATTCAAGCCATCCAGGAGTGGCCCGAACCGAAGAATGTGACGGACGTCTGATCCTTCATCGGCTTGGCCAGTTATTATCAACGCCTCATCAAGGCTTACTCGAAGATCACAGCCAACCTAAGCAAGTTACAAAGCGAGGAGCGGCCTTTTGACTTCGACGACGATGCGCGCCATTCTTTTGAGACACTCAAAGCGGCACTCTTATCCGCCGAGTGGTTACACATTTACGACCCGCTTCTAGCTACACGTGTCACTACCTATGCGTCGGGCTATGGCATTGGGGCTGTCCTTGAGCAGCACGATGACACGCACTGGCACCCGGTCGAGTACTTTAGCAAGAAAGTACCTCCCGTGCATTCGATCGACGATGCACGGAAGGAGTTTCTTGCCTTCGTCCACGCCCTCAAGCATTGGCGACATTTCCTCCTTGGTCGGAAACCATTCCGATGGGTAACGGATAACAATCCATTGGTATTCTACAAGTCGCAAGACACGATTAATAGTACCATTGCCCGCTGGATGACTTTCATCGACCAGTTTGACTTTTTTCCCAATCACATTCCCGGGAAGTCAAACTGTTTTGCGGACGCCCTTTCACGACGACCGGATCTTTGCACCGCAGTCTACTCWACCTTCGAGATCGACGACGATTTGCGGGAGAGCTTCATCCGCGGCTATCAAGCCGACCCCCACTTTCGCGACAAGTACGCGAATCGCTCCTCTCTGAATCCGGTGCCTTCGCATTATCGGATCCAAGAGGGGTACTTACTTGTGCATTCACGGGGTAAGGATCTTCTTTGTGTGCCGAGTGATTCACACTTGCGCACACGGCTTCTTGGCGAGTTTCACGATGCGCCCGCCTCCGGACATTTTGATGTCAACCATACACTTGGCCGACTTCGCCAGCAGTTCTATTGGTCCGACCTTCTCAAGGACGTCACCCGCTATTGTGAGTCGTGCTAAGTCTGTCGGCGTTGCAAGTCACGCAACCATCGTCCGTTCGACGAGCTACACCCACTACCAGTGCCCCTTGGGCGACGGGAAGCAATTTCTATGGATATCACCGGCCCCTTCCCGAAGCACAAGACCGGCGTTGATGGGATCCTCACGGTCGTCGACCGCCTCACCAAGTACGCCATGTTTTTGCCTTGCCGCTATCACGCAAAGGCACCGGAGTTAGCCGACGTCTTATACACCGGTTGGATTCGCTCCAAGGGCTACCCCGAGGAGATCATTTGCGACCAGGACACTCGCTTTCTCTCCGATTTTTGGGTCGCCCTCGCCAAGCGATGGGGCTCATCTTTGAAGCCAAGTTCGGCTCGCCACCCGCAAACCGATGGTCAAACGGAAAGGGCGCACCAGACCACTCAAGTCCTTCTATGCACTCTCATCCGTCCCGACCAGGTTGATTGGGTTGAGCGCTTGCCAGACGTTGAGTTGGCTTACAACTCATCGATCCATCCAGCTATCGGGATGTCACCATTCGAGTTTGAGCATGGTTCACCCATCTCATCACCATTGGACGCCACTTTGCCGCGCACAGCCGAGAGCGACGACCATCATGCGTTCCTTCGTCGCATGCAAGAGCTTCTTCTCAAGGCACGTGATCAGATGTCGAAGACAAAAATACGGATGAGCCGTCAAGCCAACCGCAATCGCCTTCCTTGCCCGTTCCGCGCCAGCGATCTGGTTTGGGTCTCAGCCGCGGAGTTCAGCCTTGAGCAAGACATCTCTTGCAAGCTCCTTCCCAAGTGGATAGGGCCTTGGCGCATTCTCTCTGCAGTTGGTGATGATCCCGAGGGGCCTTCATTCCGCACCGCGTTACCACCTCACTTGCCCGTCCACACGGTGTTCCACTGTTCCAAACTCCCTCCTTTTATTTCAGCGGATTCCGACGAGTTTCCCGGTTGACGAACGCAAAACCCTCCTTCCATGGACGGATTTTAGGAGGCCGGCTACATCATCACCGACCGGCGCCATGGCAACAAAGAAACAGAGTTTCTACTTCACTTTTCCTGCTGCAGCCACAAGGCTGACCGTTGGGTGACGCGTTCAGAACTGCAGGCCACAGCCCCCGCTGTTCTCTCACGCTATCTTAGCAAAGGGAAGACCATGCCGAGCACTTTAGCTCCTCGCCATCCTCGCTACATTCCGCCATCGGATCGGCAGCTTCGCCCACGCCCCGGCTCGTCTTCATAAGGAGGGGGGCGTGTTACATGCTGAAAGCCTACACACGGGCCCCTCACGGGACCCGAGGTCGGAATAGGGCCCCCAGGTCGCGTCACCGCAACCTGAAGGCCCTATGGCATTTTTACTTGGGTCTGCATCAGAAAAACACCAGCTTTAGATTATTTCTATAGTCTTTATTTTATTTATTTGCTGCTGTTTTTCTAACGGTTGTACTGTTGTCCGTTTTGTGGCCAGGTACACGTTTTAGGACCAGGGHCAGATTCAGGCCCAGAGGCTGAGCTCCTAAAAACGTTTGGACCTTTTGTTTTGTTTTCGAACAGATTTTGACCTGTTCGGACCCAGGCCGACATTAAGGCCGGGTGCGTCCGCACAGGACCGGTTCGAAGCCAGGTACCAGGAAACTGAATCCTTGACAGGGCCTGGACGTCCGGTAGGGACATAGGCAGGCCGTTTTAGGCCAAGGACTGAACCAGTTTTCGAAGCCTGCGATCTAGACCGTAGATCGGAGTTTCGATCTGCACGGTCCAGAACGCAGGCCGTGGGTTTTCAGTCCTGGCCCAGTGCTACTTAAGCTGGGTCATTGCCCAGTTCGGGGACAAAAGGTACGAGGAGAAATCCAGCGTTATGCTGGTTCAGGAACTTCTTTTCTGCGCTATTTTGGAGACTCCCTGCTGCGCTATTTCGAGACTGCAGCTGCGCTGCTCATTGGCAATGAGGCACAACACTGGAGGAGTCCAGCGCCAAGGAAGGTAGTGGAGTTAGAGAGAGAGAGAGAGAGAGAGAGAGAGAGAGAGAGAGAGAGAGAGAGAGAGAGAGAGAGAGAGAGAGAGAGAGAGAGAGAGAAGAGGACTTACC